CAAAAAAAAAAAAAAAAAAAAAAAGAGAGAGGGGAAAGTTTACTTTTCCTTTAGACAAGGCCAGTCAAGCAACACAGGTTGTGCATGACACCCCACCTTGCCCCAGTTCTTAAAAACCCTCCAGCCCTTATTCTTGGCAGAGCGGGGTATCCAGACTTAGTCTGTGCTCTCTCCCCTATTGTTGACAATACCTTGGCATAAAATCAACGTCTGTCTCTCCAACTTGTCCAGGGCAATTCATTATTTTAACGGGCTGCAAAAATAAATTAATCAGATTGTTCTGATGAATGGTCTATTTTTCCAGTCTGGACACAAACGTTTTTCAGGAATCAAGTGCCTGCTGAGTCTGATCCAGCCCACGCTCTTGTGGCAGGGCTGCTTTCCCGGGGACACTTTGGGTGTCCGCTGGGAGAGGCTGGCATGGTAACGACCCAGGACAGACACCATCTCTGCTGTCCCCTCCACAGCTCTAGGCCACCTGGAAACAGCTGGTGGGTTGTAGCTTGAGATGCTACCAGTTCTGGTGTTTGTTTGGCCGGGGACAGAATGGCTTATTTCAGCTAAGCCCCTTGGCAAGTTGGAGCTCAGGCTGGGCAGAGTGCTGTGAGTAAAATAAGCCCCTCACATTCCCAGAGGAGTGGTTACAGGACGGACGTGGCCATGGAGAGAAGAGTCTGTGTCATCCTGACTGGCCGCTCTTACCTGCATCAGTGAGAAGAAATGGTTCATTGCGATTCCGATCGTGTCCTGCAACCAGCTCTCGGTAATGATGTCCAGACACTCCTGCTCTGCCTCTCCCCTGCGGGCATCACAGATGTCCCACAGGCGGTCCCGTAAATCCTGCACACAAACACTGCTGTGAGGCTTCAGAATCACAGCTCAGATGACCTCCGTATAATAAAACTAAAATCCTTTGCCTGTCTTAATGTGTCTGAAGAAAATTTAGACCTAATACACTCATATATTTTATCGCTTTGGTAAACAAATGTTTATTTTGCTTCTACTCTGTCAGGCCTTAACTTGTGCCCAGGTCCACAGTTTACTTTATTCATGGGGGGCTATGTTTTATGTATTCTAATCCTTCCTCAGAAGATTTGATTGGCCAAAAAAGACCTTTCAGGGAATTTTTGAGGAAATGGTGTATTGTTGGTGTAAGAAATATGCTGCTTTATTGAATCCGAGGGCATAGGCTTGTTAATTAATCATGAGTGGAGCATGTCATTCTCCAAGAAATAGGGTCTGAGCTTAATAGGATTGTCTGAAAATAAGCTTTGTATTACAGAGCTAGCAGTGAAAAAAGCATCTTTTAAAGATCCGAGCTCTGCCACTTACCAGATCCTGAGGAATAATGTTGATGATACCTTTCTATGTGCGTCAGTGTTCAGAATATAAGTCATTATACTTATATTGACTCATTTAATGCCTCACAACCACCTCGGGTCCTATTATTTTCTTCATTTTGCAGATGAGGATACTGAGTCAGTCACAGAGAGGTTATTTTCCTAAAGTCACATTATGAGCAAGTGGTAGAGACAGGATATGAGCCTGTGGTCTTGTCTGTACCACTAGATTAGGGCTCAGTTCCTTGACCTGTAAAATGGGGATATTATTTACCCTTTGGATGTGCTGCAGTTAGCCTAAGCCTATAAAGCACTCAGCACAGTATTTAGCACACAATAATTCCTCAGTTATAAACAGTATCATAATCTTATTCATAGCAATGAAATATCTGTTTAATTAAAATTCCATTAAGAAAATATATACAGTCCAATAAAACTTGACAGTTTTCACGATCATAATAATTGATTGAACATTTACTGTGTGTTGGGCATTGTGTTAAGTGCCTGACGTTGATTACTTCACAAATCCCCACAGTAACCAAGGGAGAAGTTTCTGATGAGAAATGTGATGCCCAGAGATGTTGAGTCTCTTGCCTATGGTTTCAGCGCGGTGAAGTCAGGAATTCGAACGCAAGCAGTTTGATTCCAGTGCCTATAGTGGATTTTACTTCTGTGATACTGTGTTTATGGAACACTTAGCATTTTGGTTTGTTACCTTGTGGGGGCTTCACATGAAGTGAAAACATCACAGGCATTTTTAGAGCTATACACTAATATCAGAACAGTACGCCATTCTTTTAGAGCTGATCTTGACGTCTCCCTGGTCTTTCCACAAATGCTATATCAGACATCCAGTGAGGACTGACTTCTGCTCCTCAAACATCTATGCATTTTAAAAAGACAGGAGAGGAAGCAGTTGAGGAGAAAGTACGAAAGCAGGAGCCTGGGACCTTGTTTCTAGCTCTCTTTCTGCTCCCGACTCACTGGGAGGCCTTAGCAAGTACCAGTGTCTCTGTGGCTTGGTTTTCTAATGGTAAAGTGAGGACAACATGATAGCAGAACCTTTCCATTAACTTCTTAGGATTGGAATGAAAGAAGCCAAGAACAAGGAATATTACCAGGAATAAAGAGGTTAACTACTGGCAAATAGGATTATGGATTTGTCATTTCCAATTCTGCTTCTTTTAAATATCTAATCTGTCTATAGTACTTTTGGAATACAGGAGGGCCAGGATTGTGAATAGGCAGGAAGGAGATAGGAAAGGCAGATATGTTTTAGGATTACCATTTTAGGAATGTCTAAGAACAGGTAAAAGACTTCAGTTTATTGGGACATTGATTAATGCAATACCTTCTGGATTAAACCCTCCAGCACCCTGGTCATCCAAGTTACCATAATGCCTTCACTTAATTTCAATAGCTTCCCAGTTGGTTTTCCAATTGCTCTCAAACACACCAAGAATCCTACCTCTTCAGTGCCTTCGTTTTTCCCTATGCCTGATACACTCTTCCTCCCCAAATCTGCATGGCTTATCTCACTCAACCTCTCCTGTCCTGAGTTTGCTCAAATATTGCCTTCTCAGTGGGCCTTTCCACAACTACCATATACTAAATGGTACATCAACGTTCCTTCCCTCCCTGCCCTGCTTTCCTCCTTCACGTAGCTCATATTATCAGTGACATACTCGCTATACATTTACTTGTTTATTGCTTATCCTTTGCATTCTGGCCTCCAGAACATAAACATCCTGAGGTCATAGGCTTTTTGTTCAGTGTTGAACCCCCCCCCCCCAGGACTGATGTGCATGGCAGGGCTGATTTTGGTTACCATACATTTCCTCTTCTCATCTTCCAGTAAATTGTCTCCCCCCCCCCCCCCCCCCGCCCCTTGAGCAGTGCCGGGACCATGGTAGAGCTCAATAAATATTCACAGAGCAGATGAATGGGTCATGGGGTAGAGCTTGGGAATTTGTTGTCGTTGACAAATAAATACTGAGATTATAATCAGATATGACTACTAGTAGCCTATACTTAAGGTTGTGGAAGGGGAAAGAATTCCCCTGACAGGATAAGGGGCTCTGTAAATCTACACAGGAAAGACAAAAGGTGAGAGATTGAAATTAGGCTTCTTGTACATCAGAGGACCTTTTCTAAAGCATCAGGGTAATATACTCTGAATTTATCATATACTTATGAATTTATCAAAATCTGCCTGTCTACCAAGTGCCAGGCACTGTGCTGCTGGAATACAAAGATGTATGAGATTTGGTACCTTCCCTCAAGAGATCTATTCGATAGAGGCAACACTTCAGGCTTTCTGGGATATTCCCTATTCCCCTTCTCCCTGACATCAACCAACCATATAACTGTATCCAAGAGAGGCACGTACTTAATACCAGGCTTGGACACACTTACATGACCCAACAAAAGGGTTAGGAGTCTACAAAGTAGATGCCCAGAATGCTCTTGCACCGCTGGCCTTGGCTTCTCCTTCCAGAAGCATTGGCTACCATATTCTCATTCTGAACTCAAAGTACAGAAGAGCAATTGTTCTTGAAAGTCGGAAGGTCAGTGTTCAAACCATTTCTCCCCTCATCCTCACACCTCATGAGAGTAAGAAGGGGATGAATTAGGCTTTTTTGGTTTGTTTGTTTTGTTTTGTGGTATGCGGGTCTCTCACTGTTGTGGCCTCTCCCGTTGCGGAGCACAGGCTCCGGATGTGAAGGCTCAGCGGCCATGGCTCACGGGCCTAGCCGCTCCGCAGCATGTGGGAATCTTCCCGGACCAGGGCACGAACCCGTGTCCCCCGCATCGGCAGGCGGACTCTCAACCACTGCACCACCAGGGAAGCCCTGAATTAGGCTTTTGAAGTACAAGATTTGAGTGTGGAAACTCTGGCCCCGCGGGTCATGGATTCCCTTACATTCACTCTTTGGTGTAGTTCAGCCTTCGTTTCCTCATCATCCCACAGGTCATCAGGAAGAGAGTTGAAATCAGCCTGCCACTGAGATACAAAATCTTGCTTGTGGTCCGGACGCCTTAGAAACTGCTGGAAATCTGTTCTGTAAGGCATTCAGAGAATCAGATGGAGCTTATATGTCCTGCCTGTAAACTACACGGTTGTAACTTTGGAAACTTTACTTACCTAATATCATATAAGTAAGCAATCACCATATGCTGGCCTTCTCTCAGGTGCCTGAGTACTGTTTTGATGGAATTTATATAGGAATTTTCTATCAGTTTCCAGTAAGGTACTAAAAATGATCGTATTTCCTGTAAAATGGTAAAGCATAAAAATCATAATTTCAAAGTGAAAATTCTTCTGTGTAATTGAGTTAAAAGGGCACTACTAAGCAAGAAGATCAAGTTGCAACTGCAGCCACTTAAGGCATCTCTGTGAAACTTCTTGCTCCTCCTTGCTCCCCCTCCCCCAGCTAATTCCTATTTCAAATCATTTTTCATGTCTGAACGCAGACATATTTTTTTTCAGAAATCCTTCCCTGATCCATCAAGTGTATAGGGTCATCCTCTGAAGTACTGAGGTCCCACCTTAGCACCCTGTACTTCTCTCATTAGAGAACTGATGGCATTAATTATAACTGCTTATTTATTTGTCTATATTCACCTCTAGAACAGCAGTCTCATAAAAACAGGAAGAATTACTATTTTATTCACCACTAAACAGTTTTTCCTATAATTACCACAATGTCTGGGACATAGTAAGTGCTCAAGAAATATTTATTGAATGAGTGAATTGAATAATCACAGACCTCACATTTTGCCTAAGTTGGAGAACACCTAGGGTTTTTGTCAGGGTGATGATGAGGTATTTCTCTGAATTCTCCCTTGAGGTTTTACCTTTGCTGTAAAGTGCACCATGAAAATCAGAAAGTTTCTTTTACATTATCTTTAATGATGCAAATAAACAATGAAAAATAAGAAGTAATCAAATTGAAATAAAATTGAAGATACTTTTTTTTTTTGTGGTACGCGGGCCTCTCACCGCTGTGGCCTCTCACTCTCCAACTCCTACCAAATAATATCATTTTATCTCCTTCCCAACAACCACTTCTGTATCCTGCTTCTATGACAGTTCTTGAATATATTTATTTTTCAAAGTAGCTACTATTTGGCTGAGTGATAGTAATTACACACATCTGTAATTCTATCATTTAATGTTCTTATCTTCAAATATTTTCTGTTCTAATTTCTCCCTCAATGCTAATTAATTCATCAAAGCCTTATCGGGCTTCCCTGGTGGCGCAGTGGTTGAGAGTCCGCCTGCCGATGCAGGGGACACGGGTTCGTGCCCTGGTCCGGGAAGATCCCACATGCTGCGGAGCGGCTAGGCCCGTGAGCCGTGGCCGCTGAGCCTTCACGTCTGGAGCCTGTGCTCCGCAACGGGAGAGGCCACAACAGTGAGAGGACCGTGTACCGCAAAAAAAAAAAAAAAAAAAAAAAAAAAAGCCTTATCAAGAATGTCTAACATACTCTTCAATGTATTTGATTCTGTATTGAATACAGTGAATTGTCCCACATGTTCCTACCCTCCCCCATAGAGTTTACAATTTAATTGAGGAGATAAGTAAGACATTTCCCTAGGAATGTTCAATAATAATTGCAATTCATGATTGGGTCTCAAGTGCCTGGCACAGATGGTCAGGGCTAAAAGTTCTTGAGAGTAAGAAACCATGGAGGACTAGAGTTAAGAAGACAGGGACTGAGTCTTTCAAAAAACTCTTTGTCTTTTAAAAAGTTTTAAAAGAAAGACCATTCTGTGTGATTGTCCCAAGATGATTTATCTATTAAAGCAGCCCAATTTGCCTCGGTGACAACTGGGCTTTGCAGCTGTCAGAGCATAAAGAACTGAATGGAGCTTCCAGGGCTCACCTGGGCGTCTCCTTGCCTGACACTAAGGTACCCATTTAAAGAGCTGAGGCCAGATAGCTCTCTGTTCTTTTATTAGTTTAGTTAGCTTCAAAATTTTCCTTCTATTTCTAAAAAGTCAGGGGTTAAACTTCACTTGAAAGCGTTATGATGTGGGCATGACAGCATGGTTGGAGGGCTGTAATTTGCTGGATATGTGTTCTGGGGAAGATATTCTTCCAGGAAACTGCATCTCTGCTTGTCCCTGGGGTGAAAATTGGCCCTCAAAGAACCCATTTGTTCCCCTGATTGCAGCACTCAACAGCCGCTCAAAGCATGACTCAGAAATTTTAGGGAGGAAAGAAAGCATGGGATGTGATTCAATGAGTATTCTCAACAGATCACCTCGGCTTTTTGATGAATATATGTATCACCAGCTACAAAAGGCCTTTTGGATGGTGCAAATAATGGTGTGAATCTTCCTATAAAAAGGAGAAAGAACACATTCTCCAGCTTGAGTCTAACCTGCCGTACCTCAGAAATTGGTTCATTCACATAAACCCATTCTTCTGATCCTGGCTTAAATGGGGGTGGCACTACTGGAGCAGGTGACACATCTGTAGAGTCAGCAGGTGATTTCTTTACTGGAACTTTCCCTCCTGGAGATTTTCCTCTGGGAGAACCTTAAACATGCGTATTAAATTGTGCCATTACAAGGAGATGAATGGGACCAGATTGTGGTGGATGGATAAACCTATGGTGCCATGGGTCTCAGGCAATTCATTAACTACTTTTTAAGCAACTTTGGGCAGCCTTATCAAATAAAAAATAAAAAAAGTCATTCTCTATAGCCCCCAAATTAACCAATAATACCAAAAGCAATTTTTTTTTCTAAAGCAAATGCAACTTCTCTTGTCCAATTAGCTATGGAAAACAACTTGATATTTTATTTTCATCTCTGTCCTTGCTTCCACAATGCACACACAGGTTTTACAAAGTTTAGGCGCCAGAGAAAAGTGTATTTTATTTACTACTGCAAAAACTGGCAAACTAAACGCTCACCCTGAATGAGAAAGAGAGTAGCTGTAACAGGAGCGGTGCTCTTGGTGTTCTTTGAAACCCAGGGCAGGAGCAGGGAGAAAGAATGCTATTGTAGGAGTCAGTGAGGGATGTAGGGGAGGAGAAAGGGTGCCTCCTGAATATTCCCACATTCCCTGGATGAGGCAGAGGGCTTCTGAGAGGGGAATCTATATCTCTTTGTACAGTCAGGGTGTAGGGAGGAAGGCGACTGCCGTGCCGTAGGTCTGGCTGAATTAAGGCATGAGGGGGAGGGGATAAGAAGGGAGGGGAGAGACGGAGAGGGAATGGAAAGGGAGAGGAAGGAGGGGGAGAAAGAAAGGAGGTGGGGAAGGAGGAAGAGAAAGAGGCCTAATTTCAGCTGAGAATCCAGAAAGGGCGTGTGCCCCACTCTCTGTGAGAACATCCAGGGAGGAGTCCAGACCCGCTAAGCAGTACCCTTATGGTCTGAAAGATCCTGTGACCGAATAAACTACCTTAGCTCAGAAAGCACTGATATTTCCTTAAAGGATCAAAGTTATAGTTTAGAAATTCACTGTTTAAATTCCACTTACTTTCAGTTTCCTTATTAAGATTTTAGATGCAGTTTATATAGATGCCTACAGAATTTGCAGCATTTCTTTCCCCAGAATATATTTCTTTGAGTACTATTTAATGATAATGCTGTTTAGAAAAGTAAATACATCTTCCACTTTTATACTAGTTTAAAATATATGGATTATAAGTAAAGGGGATATTGTTAATTATGTCATATGAACAGTTTAAGTGACTTCTACTTACACAATTAAAACCAGTACTCGTCATCTACAAGTTTAACGTTCCATCTAGGTATCTTTAATTAGAAAAATTTAAGAGCATCTTTATTCAGGTGAAAAGCAAAAATGTTCATAACTTGGTATATTTTTCTATATGATAATTTTTCATTCTCTGAACTGAATCTCTGGTGAAATAAAAGTGACAGCACTATGGCCACTTTAAGATGAATTTCTCAAAGGAGAATTCCTAAGGAGAACTTTGTAATTATAAACGTGGGACTGGAATGAGTTCCTTTTTCTTCTTTTCTTACGTATCGTGATCATTCCGCGAAAACTAAGGGAGCCAGGGAACATTTTTGGACGATGTGCTTTGATCTCATTTAACTTTTATCTAATTGTTAACAATGAAAATGCAAGGGTAAAAGATTTGAATGAATAAAAATGTATCTAGGTCACAGTGAGTGAAAGTAGATGCCACTTTTGAACAAAATCTATCGACATGTCAAATGTCATGAGGGTCATTCCTTGCACCACCCATGCAACCATATGAAGACTTCAGTTTCTAATAAGATATTTGTTTTCATTTGGAAGCTGGATTATTGAGTCCTCAGTGTGGCCATTCTTCATGCATAAAATTCTGGAGAGTAATCTATGCTTAGCATAGAGTAAAGATAGATTTTAGCAAATTTTTTTTTTTTGTCCAGTTATAAGAACCTAACGGTATTACACAGAAGCACGTGGAGCGAGAACAAGTATAAATAAAATAAGATCAAAAGAAAAATGCAATTTTAGGACATGGGATTTATTTAATCATTTTATCTGTAAAGAAATGGTCAAAGTTGAAACTATAGAGCAATAGGCTTGAGCAAAGAAAATAACATAGTAGGAGCTCAGTAAAGGTAAGAATAAATTCCATCAATTGATGAGAGGACATTAAGAAAACTAGAACACTTTCAGATTAAGTTGGCACTACTCAGGGAGATGAGAGGATTGTAGGAAGAAGGAAAAGATGCAAAAAGTCTGATTTTTTTTTTTAAAGAAAGGCATTATTATTACCTTTCAGTCCTAAAATATTTCCTAGTAGGATCTGGCTTAATTAAGGGCTTCCCTAGGTAGAAGTTAGAAGACGGGTTAACAGTGATGGCTTTCTTATTGTCTTGGTTCAGCGAAAAACGACTCTGGTTGGTGACTGAAGTGGAGACTCAGGATGGCTTGGATAAGATGAAAATTTCTGCTCTGCAGCAACGTGGCCAGGAAGAGAAAGAGGTCAGTGCCAGGTAAGGAGCCAGAGATGGAACATGAATCAGCTTATTCTCTAAATCGCTATTTTGAAGGTATTTTGGAAAAGTTTTCTCTCCTTGGTGTCCTAGAGTTCATGTTGTTAGTCTACGTGGAGCTGGAGATATGGAACGTGGACAACTATAAAGTAATGAGGACTGGTTATTTGGAATCCTTTACAGGACCCGATTTTAGTATAATTATACTCAGTGATAAGCGTTGGAAACTCCTTAAGTCAATTTTGCAAAGGATTCCCCTTTTTGCCCACAGTCTTTAATAACTTGGTCTGGAGTCAATAATCATATCCCACACTTATTTAGCCCCATTTACTCTGAGCCAGATTCTGTTCCAGCTGCTTTTTTGTAGTTTTACTAATTCCTTACTACAGCCACAGAGAAGTTACTTTTATGACCTCATTTTACATACGAGAGAACTGAGACTCACTAAGGTCAAGTTACTTGCCCTAGGTCACTTGTATGGTAAATGGCAGAGCTAGAATGTCAGCCCAGGCAGGCTGGCTCCAGAGTCCGTGCATTTGACTGTCATACTTTATTGCCTTTTAGTGTCTGTTGATGTAATTCATGCTCAAAAGTGTTCATTAGATTGATATTTAGAAATTTGCAAGCTTTAGAGTAGTTCTTTTAATACTATTTGCTTGGCTCATAAATTGATTTTAAGACTGTGTTCTATTTACATTGCATTACAATTTAATTGTTCTACTTGTGGTGAAAATTTTATTAAAAGCTACAGTCTGAGAAGTCGATTCATTGAAAGACTCATACTAAAGAGTATAAATAATATTATTTAACTCATTTATATTAGATGATGGTATTAAGGCAAAATCCAGGGAAGCTATGAGAATAGTGTTGAGAGTTAATATGGAGTGTTGATGACATTCGCCAAAGTGTAAAAAGGCCCTAACTTCCCCTTCTCATAGGTTAATGATTCCTAACAAAACACTACCTTATTTATTTATTTATTTATTTATTTATTTATTTTGCGGTACGCGGGCCTCTCACTGTTGTGGGCTCTTCCGCTGCGGAGCACAGGCTCCGGACGCGCAGGCTCAGCGGCCATGGCTCACGGGCGCAGCCGCTCCGCGGCACGTGGGACCCTCCCGGACCGGGGCATGAACCCGTGTCCCCTGCATCGGCAGGCGGACCCCCAACCACTGCGCCACCAGGGAAGCCCTACTTTATTTATTTTGACTCTCCATTTCCTCGTCTTTGAAGTGGGAAATGATCATTCATACTTCACAGGTGGTTATGAGGATTATACAAGAATATAAAAATTATCTTGTATAGTGCCTGGCTTAGGGTAGGTACTCCATAAGAGGTAGTTTGTAACTATGATTATGAATTATGTTATCAAAGGAGATTGTTGAATTTTGATATCTGAACCATGATTGTAAATTAATCATCAACTTTCTGATGTGTGGTGTCAACTTTCAGATGAAACCCAATGTGTTTTGCATGTGCTCTAAATTCTATTAAGACCTTGTACATTGCACCACATACTCTCCTCTGTTTAAGGTCCCAGGTGATAAAAAATGTATTTTAGAAATTAATCTTAGAAAACCTTAGGGCTTTTTATTTCTATTTCAAAGTATTGTTATATACATGTTGTTTTTAAAATTGTAATCCAACTTCAATATTTTGGGGAACAGGACATATTAGAAGTAATACGTTAGAAAAAACTGAATGTTTCTGATATTCCAATGGCTAGAATAGAACAAAAAGTCTTGGGCATCAATATAGTAGTTCTTCAACTTTAGGGATCACCAAAATTCCCTAGAGGGCTTATTAAAACACAAATTGCTGGGCCCCTCCAGGAGTTTCAGATTCAGTAGGTCTGGGGTGGGACCAAGCATTTGTTTTTCTAATAAGTTCCCAGGTAATGCAGATGCTGCTGGTACAGGACTGGGCTTAAAGAGCCACCATGTTAGTCGATGCATCTAGATATTTCAATTCCATTTCACTTTCATCTTTTTTCTCTGTTCTTCCATGTCTTTCCAATTAAATGTCATTAATGTTTAAAACATTGACATAACATTTATCGCTACGTGGCCTGATAGCACCTAAACTTTAAGTCAGATCAGAAGGCAAGCACTGGGACAGTCCCAATACTAATACATGGGCAGGCCAGAAGAACTAAAGAGGACATGATTTCCAAACATTTATTCCACAGAGCTCTAGTCCCAATGGATTACCCCTCCAAGAGAGAGTTCTGCAGCCACAGTGTTTTGGGATATTACATAGTGTATCTCCTACTGCCTTAGAGATAGATGATTACAGGAGATACATATCTATATCGACATCTATCTCAGTTGAGATGAAAAACATTTTAATTTGGTGTAACTCAGCATTTTCTGAAATTGGTTGATTAAGGAAAACTCTTCGTTTAGCCCTTAATTAACACCTCCTACGTAAGGTCATAGAGTTGAAAAGCCCTTATTTTATGAAGGAGTAAAACGGGGCCATGGCAAATGGTTGAAGATAATAAGAAATGCTTTAAGAACACCATAAATACAATTGCAAATGGCATTTCAGTGTCAAGATTTTGGAGGGAGAAGGTTGGGATTGATCTAATACACAGAGAAAAATAGGGATGAATCAAAGATGCCAATAGCAGGAAACAATGACAAGTCTGAAGGAAGGAAAAAGGAGATGGTTCCTCAAGCCATAAGAGATGTTTTCAGTATAATTGGTGTCAAACAGCCTGTGAGGTAAACAGATAACCAATCAATAGTGTTCACCCCCAATGGAATTAGTTCCAAATATTAAGAATTAAAATCATTAAGACTTCCTCTTAATGAAGGAAATTCTGTTATACATGCCAAAACAACAGCATTTCTATGTAAAAGAAAGACTTCTAAATCTTGATCGAGAGTTTACCTATTTCAAATATTATTGAGCACAGTAGAAATCGTGTTTATGGAAATAGAAACACAATAGTAAAATAAAAGCAAAAAAATGTTTGGAAGTTTTTGGAGGTACTTAAACTGAGCTAACTGCATGACTCCAGTGAATATATATCTTACTGGTGGAACTTGTAGTTGCTTATGGTTTGAGTGTGTATACCTTCATCTAAGGATGCTCTCAAAGCATGTGAATTATTCTGTCTAACTTGATGATTTGGCACCTAATATGCATAAATATATTTAATTCCTATTTTTGATGATTCTATGCTGATCCTTCATTTGCTTTTGCTGATCACAATAAGGAAACAAGGGATGCATAATGTAAATGTGAAAATTATTCTCCTATTTGTAAACAGGTGAGATAGAGCAGAGCATAAATTATAGCCAAAATTATAGGTAAATTTTTCATCTCAGTGTTAACTCACCAGTGACTCTAGTTATATATGCCTATCAGGTCATATAATCAGAGAAGGGTAAGATTCTTTGAGAATCATGGTTATGCATCTTTAAATGCCAAAATAAAGATCCTTTTAAGCCCATCATTTTGTGAACATGGCACAATCTTGGGCTGCTACTACACTGGCAATTTGTAATGAAAAATTAAACAAAGGTACATACTTCATGACAACCCCCTTTGTATGTACCCTGCAAAAGTCAACTGTATGTGTCCATAACTGCATTTCAATCTTTCATTGGTTGGTGTAGCAGCTTCAATGTACAATCTAACTAATATGCTTTTTAAAGCCTATTTTCTTCTGCCAACTATCAATTATTTACAAAATTTTATCCTCCTTATTTCACAGAAATAGTTAAAATAAAATAGAAAAAAGAAAAAGAAATTAGGGTCAGGAAAAATGCAACTTAAAGTAGAAGGTCAAAACCAGGAGAGGAATTAGAAAGCAGACTCTGGGATCTAGGTCCTTGTGCAGATACTAAAATCTTATAGACACTAGTTTGTTTCTGTACTTCTAGACAGCCAAAACAGAAAAGGAAGTGCTATCATTTAGAGGTGCTAACTATCTAGCCACGCAGAGGAAGAAAGATTTTCCAGTTCCTTGATTCTGAATGAAATTTCCCACCTAGGATTTCACATAGGGGTGACTGAATGATGTAATGGGCATACTATCCCTTCAGCAAATAAAATACCAGGTTATTATTGGTATAATAAATGTTTTACCTCCACCGCTATTGTGTTGAGGACTTTATATCAAAGTGCTTATCAGTGAAAGCAATTCTATGGGGGACCCAAGAAAATATGGTTCAGCATGTAGTTTTCTGATGGCATAGCTTAGCCCAAGGATAGCACCTATAATATCTATGATGAATGGATATTCTGTATCTTAGATATTCTCTAAATTGTTCCTCACAAGCATCACTTTTCTCAGCAGGACCTTTGCTAAGACCCGGGCTACAGAAACACTGAGGTTCTGTTTTATTGGCAAGGACTTATGGTTTACAAATGCCTGAGAGAGGTATTCAGTGTATACTACTACATAAATATAGCTATTTTCACTGAAAATTATAAAATGCAGAATTATATTTAATCATATCTATCTTGATCTGTACCTTTTCTTTTGAGTGAAGTTTCACTTTTCTTCCCTTTACCTTCCTGAAGAGATTCTCGATTACCATGCGGGGGTTCTAAACAAAATTCAACACATAATTATCATTGATGATTTTCTTCAATATCCTGGGCTATGATTTGTAAGCAATCAAATGCTATTTCTCAAAAACAGTTATATTTGTGAACTGCCTAAAATGGTTTAGGCCTTTATTGTGAGTTAAAATTAATCTGAAGACAGACTGTGCATTGAAATTTCTTGAATGACAATCCTGATAGTGCTATTCTATCTTGTGACATTGAGAAGTTGAGTCCTAAGCTTAATATCAACATTTGGTAGTGAATTTGATTGTAAACTCTTTAGTGCAACATAGTTGCAGAATCTTAAAAGTTAGTCACAAGTCCATTGGAAGCAGATGGCTCTATTTGGGTATAGTTCACTGGAATGATCCCTATACAGTAAGACAACTGGGTCTGTGATAGGAATGATGCCAAAACACCTTGAAGAAGAGTTAAATAACCACTAAGGAGCATTCTTGAACTTCTATTGACCCCACACTTGGTTGCCTTGTGACTCCTACATTCCACTGTGCATTGACTGTAACTTGTAATGCAAAGGATGGTTTGGGAATATATACGCTGGGTTCCCCAGAATCTAATTCAAAAATATATTGGAAAGGGGAAAATGGGAAACTGATGAGCTGGAGATCAATAAGATGTCCCAAATAATAATTAGTTCTTTGAAAAAAATCACTACATCCCACATAATTTACCAAACAAGTTCAATCGTCTTCCTCCCTTTGCCCTGGGCTACAGTTTTGTTTTTTTTTTTTTTCCTGCATTGGAAGAATGCACATATGGGACAATTTAAATGCTTGTGATGGAGAGATCATCTGACCTATTCTTTGTATTTAGAAGTGTTAGTTATAAGAATGTGTAAATACATAACTCATATCACTTACATTTAAACATCTCAGCTCCAAAAACCAACATTCCATAGAAATAAGACAAGTGAAGGAAAGAAGGATTAACCTTGAAACTTTGTTAACCTCCATAAAAGGACTTTTAAACATCCAAATAGTTGAACACCAAACTCATTCATAAATAAATAAATAAATCCAAACATTTGAATTAGTTGCTTTTTTTTTTTTCTTAGAAATAAGCTTGATAAAAAAGTCTAGATAAGCTCTTAGTTCCTTTAATAACAATACTCTGGGTAACCAACCATTTAGCTCTAAACTTTAACAAAAGGCAACAGCAAAGAAGGTAAAAATAGAGACACCTAAGATGTTGAACTTATAAAATATTGTGAGCAAGTCTAATTTCTGCTGGGGATAGCATGCACTCTGCCTATTTTTAAAAATTATTTCCAAAATGTATTCTGAAATTGCAAAATATATTCCTAGCAGCATGGATAGCAAGCACTACCATACTTTGTCACACTCAGAACTTTAGTTTTAAATTAAATTCTGACATTTGGTAGTACTCTTGATAATAAACCCTTTAATGGGACATAACTGTGAAGTTTTTCAAATTTAATCTCAAGTGCATTTGAAGCAGATATAAAATACAGAGCTGTAAAAATTTAATAAACAGAAAGCACAAATAAATAGAGTCAGGAAACCAGAAGGGGGAGCTCTCATGCCCTAAGAGGACAGCATTGCCCAACAGGAGGAAGGAAGACTCCTCTTCTTTCTTGGCAAGGACTCAGCCAATGAAAAGCCATGGACTCATCAAGTACTATGGCCCTCCCAACTTCCTTTTCCCCTCTATAGAAGCATTCTCCTTCCCTTGTCATGTGGAGACTTGCACATGGCTTACCATGGTTGCAGATCCCGAATTATAATTTCCTGCTAATTCTGCATAAACCCATCCTTGCTGGAGAAATATCTGGCAGTCTATTTGTTTCAGGTCAACAGACCCATATACAATGTAGAACTATATTTGGACAAAATGACTTAGTACTCAGTGTACTATGCTTCCTTCTTTACCCTATTTCCACCTTTTTTTTTTTTTTTTTTAGAAATAATTTCTCTTTTCTTCTCAACTTTTAAAGGAGATTGTAATTGGATATTTGCTTTGGGCTTGTTCAGAAGCCTTAGGCTTTTAGTTCTGCAAGTATGTTCTTTTGAAAAAAACTGTAAGTCATTTATATAAAAATAAACAAACCTGGGAACTTCCCTTCCTAAAATCATTTATCCCAGCTTCCCTGAGCTGTAAGGGCAGCGCAGCCTGCGCTATTGCCTCATCAACGACTACTAGCACTGAGATCTCCTTGCAATGATGCGTTGCAGTTGGAAGGCAGTAATTGGGCCCCTGGGGATTAATTCTTCTATATATTTTTAAAGATCAGGCACTAACCCTGCCCTTGGTGGAAAAAAGAGACAGATACAACCACTCTTTGAAGCAACAATAGCTTTATTATTCCTCCAATGCACAGTATTCAAGTATACAATTTTATTGAATGTCATGAGCAAAGTTAAGAAATTTAAAGACCGAACCGTGTTGTAACCAGAAATGCTAAAGATGGGTTTCAGGGAATGGCTCCAATCCACAGATACTCCTGACTGTGAAGCCGAGGGGAGGAAAGGGAGGGGAGGCCACGGCCATAGGTTAAAGGCCTAGATGGGTAACTCCAGGCTCCCTTGAGCCTCTGTGGAAACTGTCTTCCCTGGCTAAACAGCATTTTTAAGGTTTCCATTTGTCCTTCAGACCACTGCTTTGTTTTTCTAACGGTGAAAGTATGTATGGTTAATTAATTGCTTTGTCCTTTATTGTTTCATACGATAAAATATTTTTTTAGGATTTGCGTATTTTGCCTTTAGTTAAGCCCCATTTTATTGGAGTACAATGGTCTTTAATAGACCATAATATATGTTATTAAAGTTTTCAAATGAATTTGTTTAATATTAATAAATCTAATTAAAAAAATCAGACCCATCTCAAATCTCCATGAAGTAGAAATATTATGGAGTTTAGAAATGCAATCATGACACAATATCAAGAATACCTAGGTAGACTTGTGTAACTGCACAGCCAGCTACTTACAAAGCTAAAACCAGCCACTAGAGCCACATTTGTTTCATACACACAGCACCAAACTGATCCTGGCATTCTCCCAATATCACACATCTCAACAATTGAGGATCTTACTTTTGTCGTTATATTGTCTACCACTTAACTTAATGGTCCTTAGTGGTTAAGGATCTAGAAAGAACTTAAGCTAAAAAATATTCTCTATACAAACTCTATTCATGTATGTTATATATTATAAATATACAAGTTTACTGAGATGTCAGGTGCTTGTTTCCAGTCTTTTATAATCACATAGCACTGAAGAGTGACAGTTACATATAAATTTTAGTCTCTAAAGAATGCTGTTGGTATGTTTCCTTATTCCTGTGGACAACAGGTTGTGCTAACTCTCATTTTCTGAAGATGGTCTCGCTTTTTACATAAACACAACTCTATCACTCTGCAAATAGATGTCTGTCCTCTTGATCTGCTCTAAGCTCCTTCTGGTATTCTCTGCGCCTTCCCTCCTCTCATCTGTGGTCTTATTCTAATCAGTAGATCTAGGTGTGAGGACTCCACATTCCTTCCCACACAGTAAAGTACCTCTGCTTTGTGACAGCTGTGCTCTCAGTGACTACTGCTTTTCCTCTTCATCTGAGCAGACTGGAGGTTGCTCAAAGCCTGAATCTAGATAAATGGACTGGTACTATAATTTATCATTCTTTTCTAAAATGAAAATGAGAAACTGGCAAACAGGATTAGAAATCGTTCTGTCAATCACCTGATGCTGGTTTTCCTTTTGCAGCAGGAGTTTTGGAACGCTCTCGCCGACGGTGGACTTCCTTCTCTTTTTCTGGTTCAGGAGGAGGGGGGAGAAGGGATGTAGCCTCAGTTGGGGAAACTTCTTCTTTTTCCTCAGCTTCCTTTTCTTCTAATTTCTTTTTCACTTCAAAAGGATGATAAGAATGGACCTTTATTAGCGCCTCCGGGCACCTACGATTTCACTTGAACTAAGATAAACCTAAATTAATATAAAACTGCTCTTACTGGATTAGGGCGAACTTCATGTTTTAGGGCTCTCCTTTAAATCATTCAGTCCTTAAAACTAAGATTTGAAGTCTTCTCTGCCTGGTTAGAAATACAGCTTCCCATGCCTCTGACGGGGATGATGTGTGTGTGTGTGTGTGTGTGCGTGCGTGCGTATCAGGTGGGAAGGCTTGTTGTGCCATGTGTAAAACCAACAATCTAGAAGTAGCCGGTGTGTTGCGATAGAAAAATAAAAAAAATATGTCAAAATTTCCAGGGGAAAAACAAGGTGAAAAAGCACAAAGAGAAGGTGTCGGGAGGACACGGAAGGGAAAAGAAATGTGCGGCACCGACATCTAGGGGTAAATACATATGAACCATTTAGAATGGTGCTCAGTACACAACTAAGTCTTAGCATTTCATTCTTTCATGCAGCAACTACTTATTGAATCTGAGTTGTGCCGTGAAGAAAAGGAAGGGTTATAACAATAAGGTAAAACTACACTAGTACTGTCAGTAATAATATAATAATAATAATACGAACAATGCTAGGTGCAGTTGTGGTTGCCAGAGATACAAAAGTAAAACAAAAGAGAAAAATCACTGCCTTGTGAAGCGAAATAGAACAGAGTAAAGGGGATCAGGAGTGCTGTGGGGCCACTCTTAAAGTTTATTTAACCAGAGTGCTTTGCAGGGTAGACCCGCTGAGAAGGTGGCATCTGAGCAAAGACTTGAACAGGTTCAGGGAATGTGTGCTCCAGGCAGAGCAGACAGTCAGCCCGAGGGGCTTAAGGGGCGGAGCAGGGCTGGTTCCCGAAGGTCTAGGCTCCTATCGTTGTTATGGCCCTTTGCCTTTCGGGATTCAGGCTCACCCTTCCCAGTGTGTGCCTTAAACACAGGAAGGAGGAAGAGCATGGGAGGGGAGCTAAGACTTCCTGAGACACTTTGTGTGACACTTCGCATGTTTTAACTCATTTAATAACTTTACCCCTGTAGCAGGGGCAGTGAATAACTGCAGCCATATATGGCTTTTTTGTTTGTTTGTTTGTTTTTTGTTTTTGCGGTACGCCGGCCTCTCACTGTTGTGGCCTCTCTCGTTGCAGAGCACAGGCTCCGGACGCACAGGCTCAGCGGCCATGACTCACGGGCCCAGCCGCCCCGCGGCATGTGGGATCTTCCCGGACCGGGGCACGAACCCGTGTCCCCTGCATTGACAGGCGGACTCTCAACCACTGCGCCACCAGGGAAGCCCCATGTATGGGCTTTTTTATCCATACTCCCTTTGCTCTCAGATTATTCTTTTCAATTCAGCAAGGCAAGGAGGCTTCATTCTATTAGAATTTTTTTTTTTCAAACTGGAATTTTTTTTCCTGATTATAAAAGTGATATATAATTATTGTTTTAAAAATTCCCACAGTTTAGACAAATTATCAGGAAGAGAAATTTCCTGTTGTCTCTTTGTCCTCTGTCTCCCTCATCAAGGATTGTACAGCTAAAGAGAAAACCACAGGCCCCAAATGGCATCACTTGTGCTAAATAAAGCCCATGATACCAAACCTAGACTTACTACCTGCCTCAGTTGCAGTTTCTACCTTCTTCAGAAATGTAATTTTAATCAACCAGCTTGGAATTTTCTGGTCGGCACCAATGAGGCGATCTGTCATGTGGGTCCTCTCTATATATCCCCACCCCCGCAAAGAAGAGGCAATCTGCATGGTAAAGACCCCTGCAGTTCCCTTCCTCCAAAAAGAAGATGTCCTGGCCCAAAATGACCCTTTTTTTTTTTTTCCTTTTTGCTAATGACTTCCCTGCCCCACCCTCCTATGTAAAAAAGCCTTCTATTTGTACTGTTCCACGGAGTGCCCTTCTAGTTGTTAGATGGGATGCTGCCCAGTTCACGAATAGTTGAACAAAGCCAGTTAGAGCTTTGAATTTACTGCGTTGAATTTTGTTTTTTCTTGGCATATATTGTCAGACTTTTTTCTGTGCCTACATATTTAATAATAGACATACTTTTAAAAACAAAAAAGGGACAATTTAAATATAACCTGATTTTCCCTACTTAACAGTATATTATGATCATTTTTAAACAGCAGAATATTTGTAGCAGTACCATATCCTTTTATTTTTTGTTTTTAGCTTAATCAGGATGTTTAATACAGAGCACTGGGCTAGGTAAATGTTTATTATTTTAATGACAAAATATTTATTAAAAATAATTAACTGATTGGAATGTAAATCTTAAATAAGTGGCAGTAGCGTCTGTTAATGTAATAAGTGATCAGAATGTAAAATCTTTAGGAAAATGTTGAAGTGAGTCTGATAGCTGGCAAAAACACTGATTCTAATTGGTAAATGTTAGAAGCTACAGCCCAGAATCAGTTTGCTTTTGCCTCCCAATCAAGACCCTAGAGGTTTCCTCCCTCCTCTCAGCCTAATTTCTGAGTGTTAAATAACATGTTAAGCCTCTTATATAATATATGGGTTAATTTTTGTTTTGTCTGAAAGCTTCACATGGCTGTTTTTGGGGAGCAGACACTTCGATGTGGGTGCTTGTCTTTCTAAGTGTGAACTCCTGGGTCCCCAAGGTGACTGTGGCTTATATTTATGCACTATTTTGGTGTCAGTTCACTGATAGATTACAGTAGTTAGGTCATAAATCTAGGGATGGGAGACAGCATGCTACCAAGGCAGTTTTAGAATCCTTGTGATATTATTAATTTTGACCATTTTTTATTATACCAAGAAATTGCAGTTGTCAATATGGTCAGGGGTGATTGATAAACAAAAGGGAAAGATTTATTTCTGAATTCATTTCTCAAAGGTAAAATCTCCATTGAAGTCTGGCATTGACAGTGTATGAGACTAAAATTCCTTTCAATAACAAATTCCAATAATACTATGAAAAGTTAATGGGCAATTATTATTGGCTGAATGAAGGAGGAGGGAAGTCGGGCTGGTTTAATGTAGGTGAGATGCACCCAGGAGCAGGCTTATAAATAAGTAGTTAATAGTCAGTAAATTCATACCAACACAAGAAGATTTGGGGGGAATAATCTGCCTAGTGTTTTCATCCTAAAAGGATAATTCACTCCTTGTTTCCTTATAATGCTGAGGTCAACAGATTGAAATCTTTACCCTTCTCTATAACACCCTTAATTTTTAACTCTGCTATTTTTTTCACCTGAAAACAACCTTTCAGCAAGATGACCTCTTTTGATTAAATTAAATTAAAATGAAGAAAGAAAAATCTTTTATTTAGAAACATTTTCAGTGGAAAGCTAAAATCAGAGGTAGAAGATACTTATAGATAGTATGATCCAAGGAGAAGAGAGAAATTTGCAATCGCATTTTCACTTCCTCCTAAGTTCATTAAAACCACACATTTTCGTTATGTAAGCTCAAAATTATAAAGAACTGTAATTACCTTTATTCTCTTTTTTCATTATTTCAGTCATAAACATTTCCTTTACTTTTTGGCACAAAGACTGTTTATCTATGTCAGCATTAATTTTTATCAAAATGTTTTCTGGCTCTGTAAACCATTGCTCCAATAAAGGCCAGTTGTCCAAGAAGCCTACAATTCTGCAAAACCCAAATGTTATATGAATATAGCATATTGACTGAAATATTAGAGTAATATTAAGCATGATTTATCTGATGTATGTAATGAAAACATAAGCTGCCAAAAAAAAATCTGAAAAAGCAACTTTAAGAAATCTACAGGCAATGAAATACTACCCACTTTAAAGAAGAAATCATTTAATGCTGTCTAGCCATATATTTTGAGGTATATGAATGAGAAAAAGAAGATTTGGCAATTCTATCATTTCAGGAAACCTTTAGTGTGGGTTCATGTCTCTAAGGAAACATCACCTATACTCATAGCAGACTAAACTCTGAACACCCTTCTGATGGTAGCTACAGCCTGGGCCACATAGGTCATCTACTTTTTCTTAGAGAAGTTAAAGAGACCTTTGAGTAATTATAGATGGTTCTGACTTATTTGCTTTACTCAAATATACTCTTGGAATGATTTTTGAAACAGTCTTGTCTTCCAAGAGTAGACAGGCTTAACGTAGCTCAAATTCCTCTTCCCTGCTTCACTTCATATTTTTAGAGTTCTCAAGGTTTCAAAAAATTGTCTAATTTTGCCTAATTTTTTTTTCCAATGAGCAAATTGCATACGATTGAAAGAAGGTTTTTTAAGCATAACTTCACTTTAGTAACACAGAAATGGTTTTAGAATTACACTCTATAATCTGATGCCTAGCTCTTTGACATTCCATGATCTTCCTTGGCATTTGCTGAATGAGGGCTGAATTAGGATTCCATATACAAGCTTACATAGCTTGTAAGTTCATGTAGCCATAAAGGGAAATGTTGCCTGATTTAATTATTTTCTTCCCAGACTATGATGACTTGTGCTCTGAATATAAAAGCTAACACATAAATATTTCACTCAACATCAAAGCTACTTAGTTTTGTTTTACCTGTAAAAGACTGAACGCTAAGAAATACATTTATTTTCTAGATCGGATTATTCCAAAGTGACTAGTTGTCAGTCTGTTCAAAGGGTAAGAAACAAGAAGCAAGGCACTGAGTCTTAAACTAACCTATGCTGTATTTGGTCTCTTAAATTCTGGTCTTCATCCACATCTTGGTTTTTAGCAGCTACACGTTGATTGATGTCTTCATGAGGAGTTTCACTTGAAAATGCTTCAGCTATGTTATGGAAATTACTTAATTAGACAATTTGCTAAAGCAGTCAAAGTTGCAGTAGCACTGCTAAAAGGTACTGATACAAGAAAGTCAAATAGACATGGTCCTGCCTTTGGTCCAATATTAATTAAAATGTTAAACAAAATGCTGAAAAAGTATAGTTTTGGGATCAGAATTCAAATTTCCCTTGGAAATTGGGGAAAAGGAGGTAAAATACAACATTGAAGAGGAGCTGTAGCTTTAAGGTAGAGCGTCTTGGGACTGACCTTGAAGAGCAGAGAATAAAAAATGATGGTTTGTCATGAATAACAAATTAGGAAACAATTAGAAAATCAACACCATGCTGTAAAAGCTAAGAATGAAATAGCAGGGTGGCCATAAAGTCAAATATGCAACTTATTTGTGGATATTATATTACAGTACAATAGAGCGATTTATCTTTCTTTCTAAACTTTATGATTTTTCTAGAAGAGACACAAAGGAATATACGACAAGAGACCAAAACCAAAAACGATCTCAACTTCTCTGATTGAGTCCTATTCAGGATTAAGCTACAAAGGCCAGAATACTCATGAATTCAGAATAAATGGAAAATCATAAAGAGGAAAAAAAGCCTTGAACTAGATTGAAAGGAATTAGATTACTCAGTCAATGCAAGAGAACATTGAAGAGCGAATTAATAGTGTTCAAGGAAATGAAGGACCTTCACAGGATATAGCAATCGATTGTTCTCCCTTTACATTCATGATAGAAAAAGAGGAAATTAAGTATTATAAGTAATCTAGAGATGACTTATGGTATATGGGAGGATATGCATAGGTTCAATGCAAATATCACACCATTTTATATAAGGGACTTGAGCATCCTTGGATTTTGGTATCCGAGGAGGTTCTGGAATTAATCCCCTATGAATGCTGAGGGAAGACTGTATTACATTATTTTGTATTCACAACAAAACTTGTGAAGTAGGCTTGTGATTCTAAAATTGTCCCAAATGGCATAGTTCATAAATGACAGAGAAAGGAGTTGATTCCAGTCAATCTAATTCCAAGCTCTGAACTTCTTTTTAATTTTTAAACTATTTCTTGAACTACACCTGCCAAAAAGAATGCATACGTGATTATACAGCTCAATGACTTCCCAAACTGAAAACAGCACCCAGATCAAGAAACAAACATTATCAGCCCTAGAAGCCCCCTCATATTTCTTTTCAGCCACTATAAGTGACTAAAGTTATCCATCCAGAGCCTGCACTCAAAACCTCTCAGTACCTCTCCCCATGTTACGAATGCCGCTGTTCCCTCTCAGGCTGACCAATGGCCCAAGGCACTGGCTAAAAACCCAGGCAGCCACCTACTGGTGGCTTCCCTTCTGACAAAAGCTTATGCTCCCACACTAGCTGAACCTTCTCCTTAGGTCTCCTGGTCTCCTACCAGTTGGCTTTGAGCCTGGGCCACTCCTCTCTGCCCAGCCCTGGCAGGACTGATGTTCAGTCTTTGAGGCCGCTTGGCTTTGGCTGCATGAAGGCTGCTTCCCTGTGATGACATCCTTCAGGCTTCCCCACGGACCCCAAGCATTGCAGGGCCATGCTGCAGGCAATGCTGGTGACTGGCCTCCCACACCCCAGCCCAGGCCTCAGGAAGGACCCCAGCCCACTGGTCTGGGAGGAGGAGAGAATAACACCTTTATTTTGAAAATCTGTCCTCCTTTGGCTTATATGACATTACTGTCCCTGCATTTCTTCCTTTCTCTCTAGCTGCTGCTTCTAAACACTTCTTCCTTTGCTCTCCCCACTGGCTGTCTAGGCTGTCATCCTGGGTATTTTTTAAAATACACTTTTCTTCCTAGATGATTTGTCTTACCTTCAAACCCTTAACTTTAGTACACACCTTCCCTCCTGACATCGAGACCCATTTATAGAACTGCCCTCTGAACATCTTAGCTTAAAAGTCCCATAGGTACCAGGTACTTCAAGTTCTACATGTCCCTAAAGAAACTCTTGTGTTTCTTTCCATATTGTCTAAGTGAATGGTATTATCATTCAAAAAATTGTGCCAGTCAGAAACTTGAAGTCACCCTGTTCTCCCTTCACTAAATTCACAACAAAATGAATGCCCCCATCCCAACTGATCAGTAAGTTCTATAGTTTCCCCCTAAATAGCACCTGAAGCTGACTCTTTTTACCTTGCCTTTCTAGCTGTCTTAGTGCCTTTGTTGCTTTTCAGATGGTGATAGTTTTATAACTCATTTCATTGCTTCCAGTCTCACTCTCCATCCAATGCATCCTCCACACTGCAGCTAGAATGTCCATTACGAAAAGCATATTGAATTGCATTAAATCTCAGCTTTAATAGAATTCAGTGACCTCACATGGCTTCAGGATAAAGTTCAAACACTTTAACTTGGGTCAAGACTTTTCAGCTGGCCCCTGCCTACCCTCCAGGCTCATCTCTGTCACTGTTCCGCACCCTGCTGCCTAATGATAAACGTGCTGTTCTCTAGACGGACCCTGCTTGCCAATTCCCTCGCCCTTCCTCCCTGTCTTGGTCTGGTAAATCTCTTCCCATGCTGGGCTCACCTAGTATAGCATATAAGTGATTATATTATAATAATCAGCTCACTTTTGTTTCTTCTCCCACTGCATTGTCAACGACTCAAGGACAGGGACTTGCCCTTCATTTCTGTATTGTCAGTTCCTGGCATGTTATAAATGTTAGATAAATATTTACTAGTGGCACCCTTTTAGCTCCCATCGCTCTATAACAGTGTTATCTGATAAGACAGATCTTTCTGAGATGATGAAAATGTTCTGCATCAGTGCTGTCCAGTATGATAGCCACTAGTCACATATGTATATGAAATGTGGTCAGTGTGACTGAGGAACTGAATTTTTAATTTATTAATTTTAAATCATTTAAATAACCACGTGTGGCTATTGGCTGCCGTGTTGGAAGTACAACTCAATATTATAACTCCTTGGTTCCTTAGCTACAATTTCCACTAAATTCTTTGAAGGCAGGATCCATTTCTTCTTTAATACAGAATCACCACTGCCAATCAGAGTATCTGGCATTTAGCAAGCACGCAATAAATAATAAATGAATGCGTGAATGAACAAGATATTTTTGAAGGATAGAATTTCATATGTCCAAAAGAGTTCAGGTGGGGTCTAGCTTAAGATGAGGAGAGCAAGTTGGCAAAGTGATCTTTCAATGGCCATTCCAATCTTATATTCCAAAAAAGAAAAACCTTAAGCTATGTAAGAGTCACACTTTATCTTAACTTAAAATACTTGAATATAAAAGCTGCAGATAGATTTTCAAAGTTGTGGACATATTTAGGCTACTCGTTTCTGACCAAAACATGTAAGAACTATAAACTCAATGATTTCAGACCAGTTTTTGTGATTTAGAAGAACCTAATCTAGTAGTTGGCTCAGTTCACTTCAGACCTAGAATATATATGATTAGAAATACATATAAAAATAAAAAAAATTAATAGTGCTTTAACACTAAGTTCTGAGGGTAGATAAATAAGATTATTTATGTGTATATGTACAAAAAACTTGACAAAAAAAATTCTCCCTGTCGTAGTGAATAAAGGGCAATTCTGAGCCTAGTTATAAGTAAGTGGTCTAGAATTAAGAAATTAAACTAGTTAGATGCTAACATCAGCTTTGATAAATTTTCCAGAACCATTTGTCAGGTAATTTTGATAGAGAATTGAAAGAACTCACACTGGATTGAGTAGATTTCTTGAAAAGTTTGTGCCAATTGGTTTCCTTCTGTTTTTTGAAACACACAACAAATGCTTCCTAGGGATCCTCAAGAGGGTAGGCAAAACTTCTAAGGTCCTTGTAGGATTATAATCAGCTTTTAGGGACCATCTCACCCACAGGTCTTTGTGTGTACTTAATAGTTCGTCATATCTTGAAAGCAAGTCAGACTGATTTGAGTTCAGGTGAACAGGGATGAGAATTTGGCTGAACAAGCAGAATCATCACTACTGTCAGCATAGCTCCCTTGTATGGAGAGAAGTAAATTCTCCCTTTTGAGATCTAATGGTCAGCATCCAGTTTAAACTACTGGGCTCAACAGCTGAAGTCGTATCTAATGGCTTTGTCATTTTATTTAAGTAAACAATGAAAGGAAGATATCGAGATTTTACAAACTCAAAATAAGGAAGAGTGTGACCTTGGACGAGTCAAGTGCTCATGCTTTAAATTTCCACCTATAAATAAAGGCACTGGAATAGGTGATCCCCTAAGTCTCTCCTAGCTCCGAATGTCATTGTGTTAGTAGTAACAGCAATAATGAAAGAATTATGCTACAATTTGTTAAAGGGCAGTTTTTTAAAAAGGTAAAATCAAGACACTCAAACAAATATAAAATGACATCATCTAATTTTTCAAGTAATGAGGGAACCAGTAAGATGTGATGTTACAACTAGTACAAATGACAATCTGAATAACAGACCTATTTACAGGTAGTCAGGAATGCCGAAATAGATGG